TTCATGTACTTTGTACTTCCCTTTATTTATCTCACTCCTTTCATTTGCACATCTGCCTGAACATTGTGTTAATCACAATAAACTGCACTAAATTTAACTCAATTAAATTATCGGTCTTATTAATTTAAGCAACGGCTACATTATTTTTATTGTTTGTTTTTTTTTGCTTTTCAAACTTAAGCACTTTGCCTTTGTTTTCCTTTTCGCTGTTATTTATGTAAGGAAGACAAACTGGATTGCCTTTGTGTCTGAAATATGCCATATAAATAAACTTGCCTTGTAGTCATGGCGACCCCTGGGTCCTATCAGCACCTCTATAATGACCCTCTACAATGAGTCATTTCACACCACACTACTCTGAATGACTTAGTGTTTGCATTTCAAACCCTGAATTATGCAGAAATTTTGGAAAAATTGGTGGGATTTCCCTTCAAAGCCGTCAATGCCAATGCTGGTATAGAGTGTAGTATATAATGAGGCCTGTTTTCGCCTCTCAGGCTGAATCAGCGTAACACAATCAGAGGAACACAGAGAAGATTCTGAGTCAGTGTAGAAGCTGTACAGCAGTTTCTGGCAGCGTCTGTGGAGCGACCCAATAACAGCTGAGCGGGAGTGTGTGTGTGTGTGTGTGTGTTAAAGCCACCGGTGGGAAACTGGAGCACAACAACCCCCCTGTGGCCCCCCCGTCCCACTCTCTCTCTCTCTCTCTCTCTCTCCCTCTCCTCAATCAGATAGAAACAGCTGCTACAAACTCACATACAACACTCCTCCAGTTCTCTCTCTCTCTCTCTTCTCCTTTCTCTCTCAACCTCTCTCGCCCGCCACTGTCTCTGTCTCTTCTTTCTCTCTCCTTCCCTTGTTTCCCTCTCTGTATCTTTTCTCTCCTTTCACTTTCTTTGCCTCTCTTTTCTTCCTTTCTTTCTCTCCTCCCTTTCCCTGTTTACTCTACTTTACACTTTTAACCTCTCTCACTCCTTTCTCCCTCTCTTTATTTCTCATTCTTTCTTTTCTCACTCTCTCTTCTCTTTTCTTTCTCCCTCTCTCTATTTCTGATTTTTTTCTTTTCTCACTCTCTTTACTCACTCTCTCTCTTTATTTCTCATTCTTTCTTTTTTTCTCATTTCTTTCACTCTCTACTCTTTTCTCTCTATTTCTCATTCTTTCTTTTCTCCCACTATCTTCCCTTTACTCTCTCTGCCACTCTCTTTCTCACTTTCTCTCTCTCTCTCTTCCCTTTACTATTTCTCCCTCTCTCTATTTCTCATTCTCTTTTCTCACTCTCTCTTCTCTTTACACTCTCTCTATTTCTCATTCTTTTTTTCTATCTCTCTATTCTCTTTTCTCTCTCCCTCTCTATTTCTCACTGTTTTTTCCTCTTTTCTACTATTTTTTTTCTCTCTCCCCCCACTTTCTCACTTTCTTTTCTCTCTCCCTTCTCTTTTCTTTCTCTCCCTCCTTATTTCTCACTTTCTTTCTTTTTCCCTTTCCTCTTTTCTCTCTTTCACTCTTTCTCTTTTCTTTCTGTCTTATTCTGTCTCTTTTCTTTCTCCCTTTGTTTTCTATCCCTTTCCTTTTTCTCTCTAGCCCCTTTCACTTTATCCTCTTCTTCTCTTCTAATTCCCTCTGTTTTCTCTACTTTTGTCTCTCCTACTTTTTCTTTTCTCTCTCTCCATTTCTCCTCTTTCACTCTCTATTTTCACTCTCTCTCTTTTCCCTATATTCTCTTCTCTCTTGTTCACTCTTTCTATCTTTTCCATCTCTTTAAATTTATTTTTCTCTTCATTTTCTTTTGCACTTTTTTTCACTCTCGGTTTTCTCTCCACTTATGTCTCTCTCTCACTTTTCTCTCTCGCCTTTCCTCTTCCCTCTCTCTCTGTTTTGTCTCTCTCCCCTCTCTATGTCTCTTTCTCTCCCTTCCTCTCTCTGTCTTTCCCTCTTTCTTGCTTTTTCTCCCCTCTCTCTCTTTTTATCTCTGCACCACCTCTCACACTCTCACAAACACAGAACACTCGCAAACTCAGTCCAGCTCATTTACAGAGTTTATAACACAATTAATGTGGTCAGTCTGGAGCAGATGTCCAGAACCGTAAACCGCTAAACCAGATTCTCATCGTACAAAACTTTACAGCTCTGTGTACACGCTGTAAACACACAAAGGCAAAGCAGCAACACTGTTAGATTAGCACATCTGTCCATCAGCGGTCAGGCTGTGATTAGGAAGTTACAGTCCGATTCACAAAAACAAAAACAGTGTGTTTACATGCACTTAATCTGATAACTGCAGAAAATCAGATTGTGTCAGTAACTGGTTCAGTGTGTTTACACTTAATAATCTGATAACTGCAGAAAATCAGATCAGGGCAGTAACTGGTTCAGTGTGTTTACACTTAACAATCTGATAACTGCAGAAAATCAGATCGTGTCAGTAACTGGTTCAGTGTGTTTACACTTAATAATCTGATAACTGCAGAAAATCAGATCGTGGCAGTAACCGGTTCAG